TAACAGAGGCGAGAGGCTCCTGACTTGGGACAGGCGCAAAAATGCGGCGGGGTTAAACATGTTTTGTGAGATCTCAACCCTCCCCTTTACCTCTAGCCAATGTAGAATAAACAAACACACAGCAATACGCACAGTAAAACTCAGTTTAAAAGAAGTCCGAGTCCGATGTCAGAATAGGTAACAAAAGAAACTAAGCAAAATGACAATGATACATAAATTAACAAAGGACTACTAGCAGTTACTGACATGCCAGCTCCAGACTTCAATTAAAGTGATTGAAAGATTATGTCTTCATCATATGAAAATCAAGTACAATCCCTCCCGTTAGGGGTTTAGTATCATACCATCATAAAATATATGAGAAGAACATAACCCGTATCATGCCAACAACTGGTTTTAGAACAAATAAGTTTATTTCCAATGCAAAGACCCTATGAATGAATCAATATTAATACCAAAATATGCCATCTTCAATGACCTGACAACAGTATCGTAATTATATCCCTTCTGAATAAGTCTGTTTAAAGGTTTGGTTAGCTTTTTAGGTGAATGTCGACATTTTTGTGCTTTGTAATCACCATAAAAGATTGGATGTGAAATACCTGAACGTATAAGATGTCTGTATGTTGATTTATATTTACGAATAATGTCCTTGTACCGATGATAAAATTTAGTAAATGTTTTGACTTGTTTGGGATATCGAAAACCCTGGTGAAATAATTTTTCAGTAATACAGAGATTTCTTTCGTTAAAATCAAATACGTTGTTACATACACGAGCGAATCGAACAAGTTGAGATATATAAACACCATAAGATGGTGACAAGGGAACGTCACAATTTAAAAATGGATAATTAACAATAGGAAATGAAAAATCATCTCTTTTATCATAAATTTTGGTATTAAAACTAAAAATGAAATAATAATTTATTGTTCCGTCTTTTATGAGCTGTTAGGATCCAAATGATCGTTTCAGATCATAATTGGGGTACTAGTGCAAGATTTGTCGACTGGTGCTATATATGCATCATCATTCGTAGATTCCGTTGACACATCCAGATGAACCTGTAAAAATCAAGAACATGATACAAATGGTTATATAGTCAGATTTATATAAAAACAAAATATTGAATCAATGACAATAGAATCTTTTATGATGACGATCGTAGAATGAAGAGACCCTTCAAACACTTGCCTCTTAATATAGGCGGCTAGCTGTTTTCAGATAGGATTATGTATTATTGAAATGATAATAGTTACACCAAGGTCTGACATATCTTGCATTTTAATCGAAACGCTTCCCTTGATTTCATGTATCAAACGTAATCAGTTGGCACAGTATAAATTCCAAATTGGTTTACCTCTTGAATATGTGTTTCTCTGGAAAATAAAAAGAAAGTGAACACTGCAATTTCACATATGAGGAGACGATTAACATTTTTCCATCGCAGAACAAATATCTAATGAAAATGATAATATTAAGATTGACAAAATACATATTTCAGTTTGATTGTTTTTTGTTCAGGTGTGCGATTTGATAGCCAGTGCAGTTGGAAAAAGAGATAATGTGGCTTGTGCACAGTGCTGTGATGATCCAATTAACAGTACAACATTAATCCCATGCAACGGTTACCTATGCAATCAGAGTAAATATATTCTTTAAAAAAAAAAATTTATACATACGATGAGTGGTTGAATTTCAGACAAGATAAATTAAGAACACAGACTTGGAAGCAAGTTTTTGTGATATCTATATAAAACGAGGAGATTTGCATTGATTGTCGACGAGACAACAATCCACCAGAAACCAAAGTTCGTTGAAGATAGCAACTATAAGTCAACGTCCAGTCTTAAAAAATGAACAAAACCCATACCGTCAATTACGCTATAAAAGTCCTCAAAAAGAAAATATAAGAAATGATTCAAACAAGAAAACCAACGCCCTAATTTATGCTTGAACAATAAGAACAAATTGAGGAGGTAGAAACCAACGACAATAGCTGAATTACAGACTCCTGACTTTGTACAGACACATACAGAATAATGCGTGTTGAACATGGCTGTAAGCTCTCATCCCTCAATCATTCCTGTTGGTTCTTGATGATGATAAATCAAGAAAACCCCAGAAATCAATGTAAATAATGTCCAAGTGTTAAATTTTCAAAAAACACCATATTCATACAAGAAAGTATTATAAACATATTTTGAAAGATATGACATAAAGCAAAATAATCACCAAATAGATTCCTAAGTTGTTTTAGAGGATGTACACGTAGGTTTTAATTATCAAGAAAAAATTAATAGCTGTGATTATTTCTGATTTTTCCAAGTAAAATGAGATGCATGCAATAAGATATCATATTTCAACCCTTAGTTTTAATCAAAACTAATTTAAAACGGTGCAAGTATGAAAAGAAACAGTGCGTCTCAGAGATAAATTTGTATGTTACTTCCAAATATGCAGGAAATCCGAAAAGTAATTTGGCGTTGCAGCTTTAGTACATTATCAAATTGATGCATTGACATAATTTTAAAAAGATAACAAAGTTTACTAGGTGTCATTCAGCTACTTTTTTATTTTACTGTTTTATTGTGGGCATAGATGTAATTTGTAGGCTTTTAAAGTAATTGAAAAATATAATAACATTTCTAACTTGTTTGACCTTATGGGTAAAACCATGTATATTCTGTAGTTCTTTGTTTTTTTTTCTTTTATTGTAATTCAACTTTTACAACTGTGAAACATAAGTCAATATAATAGTAACCTGTGTATTGTTGAAGCCTGTATGTTGACATCTAGATTGTTTTGGGGGGATGGGGGTCTTTTGTCCCATTCCGGTTTACCTAACATCTATTATTCATATCTAAATTTGTTTTGTTTTAAATACCAATACTGCTTAACAGAAATTTGACAAAATCTTTTTCCTGAGTTTTTTTTTTTATTATTTTATGATAAATAAATTTTACTTACTTGTATACTTCAACATGTACTGGTATGTTATATATGTATTTTGTAAGGCATCGTATAAATTAAAGACAAAGTCACACAAAAACAAACGTCCATATAAAGACAAATTGCCACATAAATAGAAATAGCCACATAAAGACAAATTCACATTAAGACAAAAAGACACAGACAGTCACAAAAAGACAAATGTATGGAAATTAGTTGTCATAGTGATCATCTTTTGCAGTAAAATTAGGAACCGCTCATCTTAAAGAGACAAATAGCTACATAAAGACAAAAATTCATAAAAAGACACATTATAACTTAAAAACAACTCGTTACACAAAGACAGTTAGTTACATAAATACTAGAATCCACAAGAAGACAATAAACACATAAAGACAAACACTAGCATACATACAGTCACATAAATATGTGTTTTTGTTATGCCTACCTCATTTGGTTGGCACTGTTGGTCAATAGAGCAATCATGTTGGCATAACAAAAAATAGTATAAAGACAAATAGTCATATGGAGACAAACAGTCAAGACACAATCAAGACAAATAGTCACATGGAGACAAACAATCAATTTTATAGCCGACTATACGATTTAGGTTTTTTCTCATTGTTGAAGTCAGTACGGTTGCCTATAATTGCTTACAAATACTTCTTCTGAATTTTGGTGGATAGTTGTCTCAATGGCAATCATACCACATCTCCTTATTTTTATATACCTAAGACGAATAGTCACGTAAGGATAATTAGTAACATAAAGACAAATAGTCACATAAAGACAAATACACACATAAAGAAAAATAGTCACATACAGACAAATAGTCACATAAAGACAATGGTCACACAACTACAAATAGTCACATAAAGACAAATAGTCACATATAGACACATAAAGACAATACTCACATATACTACAAATAGTCACATAAAAGCAAATAACACAATATTATGACAAATAATTACATTGAGACAATAGTCACATAACAACAAACAGTCACATAAAGACAAATAGTCACATAAAAACAAATGGTCAATAAAGTTCACTGGTCGGGCTTTTACTCTCTAGCATGTCAAGAGGAAATATACATAATAATGAGTGTATACGCGAATCTCTTATTAATATAAAATTAAAGTAAGATCCTTACATGTAAACTGGCTTTACATTTATATAGGTAACAACATGTTTGAAATCCGTCGCCAGGATGAAAGCTTTGAAAAGAAAATATTTCCAATTTATTTTAGTTGTGGTTCAACAAAATGCTCGAATATTTAATTCGTCTAACGATACTTAAAGGGGCATAATTTGTCAAGTCCATGTTTATCGATTTGACTCAAATTCTTATAATTGATTTATAACATACAAAAACCTATATTAGAATTACAAAAAGTCAACAAGAAAAAACAAAAAAATAACAGTGCAAGAACTCGTTATAATGATTCAGCATTTCGTACGGTTTTAGTTTGTAACCCGGATATGTTTTCTCTCAATCGATTTATGACTTTTGAACAGCGGTATACTACTGTTGCCTTAATTTTATACCAGACACCATATAAATCTAATAATCAATCGAGATGACCTCCGAAAACAGTCGAAAGACATATAATCAGATATAAACATCAATGTAAATAGACAGACAGACAGACAGGCACGTGCAGTCGTATACTGACGATTTGTCTAGTTCTTATTGATTCATGTTATTGATGTATGTAAAAAAACGTATAAACAAAAATACCGAACTGCAAGTTAAATTCAAAAATGACACAACTGAAGGAACGAATGGTAAACAACTCCCATATTTCCGACTTGGTACAGGCATTTGCTAAATATCAGAGTGGGTTTAACCTGGATTAATAGCTAGCTTAACCTTCCACATCGTTTTAGCTGTATAAAAATTATTTTGAAAAATCTTATTTTTGTTATCTAATTCGTAGTTAACGCCCCTTCAATGTTGGCATATTATTATTTTTTTAACGGAACTCACTTAAACAACTACATTTTGATTTTAAAAATCTAGCATTGTTTTACCACATTTATAGATCCTCAACCAGCAGGATCAACCTGTGGGGTGTGTGACAGAGTCAGTAATCCAAAAGATTGCTCTGTTGACCAACAGTGCCAACCAAATGAGGTAAGCAATATTTATTGATTCCAGTTAATCGCACACAAACATTTGTCCATTTGTTCATTTTTTACCCTTTAAAATTACACAATAACAAAATAACAAAAATAATGTATCAATTTCAGTCAATTCAGTTTTTCAAAATCGGTAATTACAATTTGAAAAATTAAATAAAATTTTTAAAACAAGTAGTTTCTAAGGAATCGTCAAATAAATTCAGGATATTACATTAAGTTCAAAACATAAAACTATTAAATAAAAAAGGTACGCAGCATTATTTCTAAAGAAAATAGAATATAAGTATATTAATATCATTTCCAATCTTATGTTTATATACAGTCGAATTGTTTGTCGTAATATATATATATTATAGGTTTGCAAGGTCAATACCCTCTTTACTGGTGGTGGTTTAAAGTATGAACTTGGATGTGAGCTTAAAACTGTAAGTTTTTGTATTTAGGTAGAAGACAAGCTGAAATTTGTTTTAAAACGTTAGAGAATGTATCACTTCGTATCAAATCCCTCAGACTATATAGGCCATCATAAGTTTTGTGATATATACTTTTTAAATAAATAAATAAATATGTATTCAGATTTTTAGGAAAACAGTCATCCAGCAATTTGAATAGGTATGAGATCGTCTAAAGTTGCACAAAACAACAAATAATTATATAAGTCTATAGAAAAATGAAAACAACACGCTATATATTAAATGCGTCCGAAGCGCTTTTCTGGATTTACCTTCATCAGGAACGCTCAAATCCGAATATTTGAAAGCCAAGGATGTATAAGAACCAAAACAGTTGAAGAGCTATATGATTTGTGTAACGATATTGATTATAGATAGTTATGTTTAAGTGAGATAAAGTGATTTCGTAATAACAAACATTTAGGCACAACAAATTAATTGTCCTCTTCGGCGTCAATCTCATTGAAGAAACATTTTGAAAATAGAGGATAAATATTGGTAAGAAGTCGTTTTCAAACGTTTGGTCTCGAGTGACTGATTAGTGTCTTATTTTGGAAACACACGTCATGCACTAAGATTTATACATGTATTTTACTATTTTTCAAGTAAAGACCAAATTTACAAGTTATGTAATTTTACAGTTCGTTTCAAAGATATTCAGGCTCGGGTAAATTATTGCAATACAGTTTGAATAATGTAAGCCTTAGATTTTTAATATTGAATATAAAAACTCGAATTTTATACGTAAAATATTAAGGTTTGAGATTAAAATTCAAATTCATTGTATCTTTATTTGAAATTAAGATACCAAGTTCGACATTCAACATTTGACGGCCTTCAGCAACCAATTAAAAGACAATAAAACTTCCTGTAATACATTTGTTTTGCGAACTATTCGATCAATATCAGAAAGTTTTATGATTTTGCAGATATGTGATACAATTTTGAAAGAATATAGAAGCACTCATACTACAGTGTTTATAGGTAGAAGAGCTGACCACGGAGATCTTACGCTATGCTCTGCCTGTTGTGATACTTTAAGTTGTAACAAAGACCAATGCTCTGAAGTTATTAAAAGTAAGATGGTTATCTCTAAAAGTGCAAACATTTTTAAACTATTCAAAAAAAAAAAAAAAAAAAATCAAAAAAAAATATAGGAATGAACAAAATGGAATTACTCCTGGAGAAGCAAACATGTTCATGTTAAAGAGTATGGTTGTTAAGACCCAAATTTAGAGCAAATTTTAAACTTATAATAAATGATCTTAAATCATCTTTTACATGACTATGATAATACGTGTTCAAGAAATAAAAACATATTTCAAATTTGATGAGTTACCATAACAGTAAGCCATGACGAAATTATAATATTTTGTACAAGTTCTTTTCTTCTTTTTTTTTCGACTTTTAAGCATATCTTGGATTAAAAATGTATAGATACACCAAAATAACAACTTTAATGTTTGGATATGCAATCTTTCGTTAGATTGCATTCTTCGTTTAAACATTATCTATAAAATATTATGATGTCGTTTTTAACTTCTTTACATACAAAATTTAAACAGATATACTTAGAGAACACATTGTTTCAATATTCTCCCAAAATGTTATTGTTTAAAGCATTGATCAAGATAAAAGCATGATAAAAAAAATCTATAATAAATGAGATATTTGATTCAGTCCTCGGATGTGCAATGCTGCACTTAAAATTTACGGTTGCTCTCGAAAAACATATTTCGAATTCATTCTGACCATTGTGACTTATTTGCATATGAAAATTAAGTCTTAATTGGCTTCTAACATATATTCATTACGTAAATTGTAGAAAACGAATGTATACAATTACGTTTTTATTGTAATACTATTATTAGCTACGCCTTTTTGAAAGCCAAAAGTATAATACATTGTTAGAGAATTACATTTCAAAAAGGTTTTAATAGAAAAGCCTTTACCGTCCAAGTCCAATTTCCTTTAGGGAGTTTAACTTTAGCTTCTGCACAATTATATTATATTTCAAAATGAAAATATATATTCAAAACTATCATTCAAAATATTCAAATAACGAAGCACTAACTACTTGGCAAATGGTTGTTCTAAGTTTGATAAACATAATCCTTTGGTAGCACAAACGCGTATGAAATGATTACCGTGGGTGTAGCACATGTTTATGAAAAACATATTTTTAATAAAGTTTGTTTGAAAATAACATATCTTTTTAATCATATCTGATGTTTTTTTCTTTTATAGCTCAGACATGTCACAATTCAAGTATTTGTGGTTAAGAAACACAAGGAAGGATTGATTACACAAACATACTGCTTGAGTTCAACATTGTATAATAAAAGACTTTTGAATTTCGTTCTTACATTTTGTAGGCATCTAAAAAATTTGGAACCACAATTTCAAAATAAAAAAAGGATATACTATGACAGCAATCAAATATAATAAAAACGACAGATACCACTATCGTTGGAGGAAGACAAATGCAAACTATTATGATTGACAAATTGTTACACAGAAGAATGACCTATGCGTAACCCAAAAAACAAGCCTCCACTTAAAAGATCTTACGTGATTTAAGATGCTGCCACCAAATGTGTTGCTTATGATAAGTAATAGAAATCAATGACAAAACTTGAACACAGAATGAAAAACAGGAACATCTCTTTGATCATTTGTGTAAAAGATATAGTGTAACGGTGAATCAAGTCATGCTAACTTACAGAGAACCAACATTCTTTGCTCGAACTTCTGATATTATAATTTTATGAAGAAGAAAAATCAGTAGAAGCAGAGTAATTTAGACTAACTGACGAAAGGTATTAAAACATACATCCATCATTATCATGAATTCTATATCGCACTAAAAAAAATTATAAGACCTGCATTAACACATCTGAAATATCATATCTATTAACACTAATTCCTCCTCCTTGAAAAGACATCTTATTAAAATTATTTATTTGTATGTTAGTTGAATAGCCAACCATCAAAAGTTATTTATAAAAATATGGAGATGTGGTATGATTACCAATGAGACAACTATCCACCAAAGTTCAAATACAGTGGTTGTAAGCAAATATAGGCAACCGAACGATGAGAAAAACCCACACTGTATAGTCGGCAATAACAGGCACCGATATGAAAAATATGAAACATTCAATTGAGAAACCTAACGTCCTCATTTATAACAAAACAATTTACGAAAAAACAAATATGACAAGACATGAACCCATGACAACTACAGAACTGCATGTTTCGACTTGAGACAGGCACTTAAAGAATATTGCGGGGTTAAATATGTTTGAAGGCGCCAATTATCACCTAACCTGAGACAGTTTGTGTAACAGTACAACATATGAACAAACTATAAAAATCAGCTGAAAAGGATTTAACTAATCAGATCGGAACAAAGCCAAAAAACCTAAAAAAAAAAAAAAAAACTAACAAAAAAACAGACCGGTAAGCAATAGTACATATAAGAGCGCCGTTGGCAGTGCTTTCATGAAGGGTATGCGTAGATATCCAGGTAGCGATCATGTTACAGGTTATACTCCAAATAATCGTAACATACGTAGCATACATATCTCTGATGTCCTATTATACTCCTGTAACTGTGTTTGGTATCAGGATATCCTCATATTAGAGTGTCAGTATACAAGTTAATATTTACTTAGGTGTTTTGCAAGTATGTTTGGAAAATGCATTACAACGGATACTAAGCTGATCCGTAGTTATAAAAACGTATAAAAAACTACCGAACTCCAAGGCAAATTAAAAATAGGGAAGTCCATTTCATAATTCGTGATATTCAACTTACCTTTTTACATGCGTGTGATTTTTTAGGTCGAGCCTTTTTTTACTTTTAAAAGGGGAGGCGGTTATCTAAGTGTTTTCTCTCCATTTACAATTTTCCGTTCAATTTAAAAAAAAAATACAAAAGATACCAAGAGGTTAACAAAGTTGTGCGATCTACAACCTCTGTTACTCTTTCTTTTTTTCTTTTTTATTGTCCCTCGTTGCGCGCGCCGATGGGTACACAGTAAAAGTGTAGGATTATTTGTCAGAATATTTTCATGACCGTACTTTATCGTCATTCTGATTTAATAATATTTTCAGGAGTTATCGGACTCTTAATACAATAACCTCTTTGGAAACCTTTCCTCATTCCTTTAAGACTCTACGCCAGAAAATGTTCATGTATGACAGGATTTTTCTGTCATAATGTTTAATTGACTATACTTAAGAGTGATCTTGAGATGACAATTTTTGTAGGAGATATAGATTTTGACGATTATTTTGGGCTATTGACCAAAATAACACAATGTGAATGCAACCTCTCTGAGACAGCTTGACAGTGGTTCTCTCCTGTACTGGAGCTTCCTCTACCAATTAAAAAACTGGCCGCTACGATATACCCAAGAGTACAGGAGGCAGCGTTAAACACTTACAATCTATCAAATAATCTAGCCTCCCCTATTATTATTGAAATTACAACAGAAACAATGAAACACCTAACTTTTCCTAAACGCATATAGGAACGTGTTTCTTTGTCAAGTTGGTTGTTTCCTTTTGAAATACATTTAGAAAGATAAATGACGCAACTGGAGTAAGATAAGGCTTATTATATAAGACAAAGCATGATTAAAAGTTTAGAACTTTACATTTCACGATCCAACCTTAAGGTTAGTGACACTTATTCATGTTCGTATTTGTTTTTCTGTTGCATGTAAACGATACAAGAATTGGTTGAAATACCATCTACAAAAGTTTTTTTCATATTTTGTAAGCCATTTCAATACTGCTGTACAAATGTTACTCAGCTTATGCTAACACATAAATTACAAGGTTTGGAAAAATATGAGATGTATTTGTTTTTTGCATTCTCTACATTTGCATCATCTATTGTTGTTCAAATTAGACGAAAGTGTCCATAAATTAACTTTTTCTATTTTTTTACCAGCATGAACATGATTTGAAATATTCTTATTAGAATATAGGGACACTATCAAATTAATTCATTCGTTGTCATTTATTGCATATAATTGTTTGTAATAACAATAACATTCAGTGTTTAAGCGCAAATAGTGTGTAACCTTTCATTTCCTTTTTTCCAAGAATATAATACGAATAAAACAATTACTGTGTATTGAATATGAGAGCAACCTGAAAAGCAAAAATGTAAATATATATAAGAAGGATTATATGTCCTTTTTTGTGGAATGAATTAGTAAGCGAGGATACACACAAATTCAACCCTGTGTTATGTTTACTTTCTTTTTTACAGTTAAAATGACCGGAAGACACGCCTTAATTACTGGTAAGGTTTGTAAATTCTACATGTCTTCATCCTTTTAGATAAAATCAAAGTCCAGATGTAATATTTGATGCTGCTGATGCTCATGATGAAAGTAACACTGTAAATGCTTGTCAAAGATTATTTTGTGAATTTAGTAGAGGTTAATTGAAATATCGCAAATGACTAGCTATAAATATATATATATATATATATATATATATAATATACATAATTACTCTAAATATCGGCACAACAATGTTAAATCTGCAAATTTGCGGAAGCAAATTTTTGTTCTTCCCTCGCCGGGATTCGAACTCATGCTATTGGATATCGAGACAACACCGCCTGCACTGTGTCCAGCGCTCTAGACCACTCGGTCACATAGACTGAACTAAAAATTCAACTTTCGGTGGCCTAGTGTTACCTTTCCTCGTCAGTAGAATTTAGAGTTGTAACACAGTACATGATATATTTGGCATGAAGATGGAATTGATTGCAGATTAGCTAAGTTGTCTGTACTAAACATGCTAAAGGATCGTATGATGCAGTCACAGGAATAATTATTTTGATAAGTACGTCTAAACAAGCGACAACTCTAGGACAGATCCATCCATTGGATCACCAGTGAAGGTGATACACGATTGATAACACGTATTATATTCATAATTACTCTAAATATCAGCACAACAATGTTAAATCTGCAAATTTGCGGAAGCCAATTTTTGTTCTCCCCTCGCCGGGATTCGAATTCATGCTATTGGGATATCGAGACAACACCGCCTGCACTGTGTAGTATACCCGATGTTAAATTTTCCATTGATACTTTCCTTTTGTTTAAGAAACAAGTATTTTAAGTCTCTCAGGCAAGGTTTACCTCAGATGGATTTTAGCTATAGTTGTATTAAGGCTTGGATACTTTTTTGTAAAATGCGTGTTATATGCGAGGAAAGATAACCTAAATTATGTATTGGACAATGATTGAATTTCCATAATTACAAAAGGACTAATTTTATATACTAAAGATTTATTCAGTAACAGTGCAGGAAGATATATACATTAAAATATATCGTTGGAGAATTTAGGATTATCTTAATCTGACGATTTTATCATTTATTGTCCGGGGATGAGTATTGGAAATATCCGGCATCTACGACTAGGGTGTACTCGCCGCTGCGCATTGCTGTGGCCTTTAAGTATATAGAAATAAACCAAATCGAAATTAAAGAATAAGATATAAATGCATCCAATAATAATAATAATAATAATAATAATAATAATTATGAATATTAGATATTTGAAATGAAAACTGTACATTGCAATGTGATGAAACTAATTAACATAATATAATGACTAAGCTCAACGTGTTATATAATAGTTGATCAGAAAAGGGGAAACACATTTACAGCTAAGTACATCATTGCTAGAAAAACAAACTTCATGAAATTCTTCACATTTAAGTATTTACGTATATAGATATATTTAAATATCTATGAAATAAAGCCTTAAGTTAAGCCACATAAAGATCAGCAAATATAACATTTTCTTAAAGGTTATCAATTTAAAGCTGTCGTCAGATCTTTGATTATTGTCAATTCCATTCAATATTATTTATGTCTCGTGTATGCATATAAATATACAATACAATCACAAAAAATACATTTGTTCGCTTGTACATTAGTCAATCTAATCTGTGCAGATAATTGAGAGACGATAGAAACGAACACAACATGTATATATTGTGCTCTACAGATTATACATGAATTATGAAAAATATATAAGATAATTGTATTATTATTTATAATATAAAACATCTCGGCGTCTTTCCAGAATAACATTACTAGTTTTGACACTTAATCTTAAAACATCTCGATTTGCAAATATAAAAAACATTTTCTGACACCCTGTACAATTACTAAAATGAGCATCGATTTAATAATGAGGACAACGTAAAAAAAACATGATTTTTATCTTCAACAATATTAAAACAATCAAAACAATACCTCTCTTCCAGTTGCAGGTTTTTAA